TCTGCCCCCTGGAATTAATGTTTAGAACCTTGTTCCCAAGGTTTGAAAAACATCCGATTGTTGTCTATTACTCGTATTTACCTGCTGGATTTTTTAATCCGGTGGACAGTCCATCTAGAAAGGCCCTCCTGGATGAAGTTACAGAATCATCAACCCATACTTTACTTGTAGTGTGTCCTGTGTTTACCCATGTTTTATCAAGGTAATAAATCTTCCTGTTTTGATTTCTATATTTCCCAATTTTTGTTAAATAATCCCTCCTCCATAGCACAATTTCTTCTCTATCCAGTAGTAAACTATTACGACCCCGTTTTTTCCATTTGAAATTTAAATGCTTCAGTAACGCATGGAAAGTTGATCGTTTGAAATTTGGCAACGTTGTATCTCCATTTACCTCCTGCAGTACTTTATCTATAGTAGGTATTTCATTCCTAAAGAAGAATTCGTGCACTTTCCTCCTAATCGCATGCTTATCAGCTTCATCCAATGATTTAACAATACTTTTGCGATGTTTACTGGTCATTGGCTCAGAAAAGGTGTGATTTTTTTTGTATTGTTTTAACACATTAAACACTGATGCGCGACACACCCCAACTTTGTGAGAAACCTTCACAACAATTTCTTTGATGGTTGATGCCTCGTTCTCCTCGCGCTCGATCTTATATACATATATATTCAAAATGACCTCTTTCATTTCTGCACTCAGGTGTCTTTTTTTAGAGCGTCTCCTAGGTGGACTACAGGAGTTTACAACTTCATCGGCAGTATCTGTACTACTGGGCATTTTGCGCAAGCGTATCGAATTCCAAAGGACACCAAAAAATCGCAATGCTCAGTTCCTATAGTTATAACTTATAGTTAGTATGCTTCTGTCGCCATGATGTGTCAGAAAATAACACAATTATGTTAGATTACAAAAGTGTCAAGACGTCTAGGGGGGGCGCGCGCCCTAAATCCGCCACTGCGTGCTATCGAATATAGTTGTATTTTACTAAATGAAGTTTTCAGTGAAAATGATATCTCCTTTTTGTCTGATTTCAAATCAGAATGACATCCTCTTGCATAATACACACAGCTCAAACAAAATTCACCGAACTGCAGAAAAAAAGACGGTTACAAAATTTTGATTGAGACCGAGAATGGCGCCAGAATATGGCCCGCGACTTACCATTTACAAAACCAGAAATTTCCAGCGATATATACAACTTTGACCATTGTCATAATAACAGATTAAATCATTGTTATTAGATAATATATGCCGATTACCCGCATGGTATCAGCGGGGTGCCATCTGCGATGTGATTTATTATTTAGACATTTTTTACCTCATTTATTTTTTCCATTATATTTTTTCTGCAGCGATGTAAGTTATGTAAGCGACGCATATGGTTGGTATACCTTCACTTGTTTTTCCTTTATGTGTAAAAAGTTCGCGTGTTTGCAAACGCGTGCGTTTCAAGTGGTGGTATCATCATCGTCTTTTTCATCGGATTCCGAGGTGGATACAAGCATGGAACTGAGTAAATTGGCTTGGAATAAATCCGAGAAATAATAATAATAATAATAATATTTATTCACTCAATGTACAAAGATAACAAACAATATGAGTAAATAAATATAAAATCAAAACAGGCCCAATAGAAGGCATCGCCTGTACATGGACCAATAAATTTAAGTTGAAACTGTAGAATGCAAATGACAAAAAAGGACAAAAATTAGCTACAGTAGATTATGTATTTAGTTGATGTTCGTATTTATGAGTTTATGAATTTCAGTCCTAGATATAGAATGTAGCCACTTTTTTAAATTTCTTTTGAAATAATTTCCGAAACGTAAATCTTTTAAGTCTTTAGGTATAATTTCATAAAATTTAGGCGCTAAATAGAGATATGATCGCTGCATTATAGATTTATGCGGTTGAGGAACTACTGTGCCACGAATTTTGTACCTGGTATAATGATTATGTTTAATTTTTTGGTCGGTGTTTACAAATTTATGGTAGTGAGTGATACTGTGTAAGAAATAAAGCTGTCTTATATCATACATTCGAACATCTGCGTATAATTTTTCAGTGGGATAAAGTTTCGGTTTTTTAAATATCATTTTTAGAATACTTTTTTGAAAAACATCTAAATTATAGATATGTGAGGAACATGCAGCTCCCCATGCTAATATACCATATGTGAGATGAGGCTCAATCAGTGCATGGTATAATGTTCGAAGATATTTTTCTGTCAATATATTCCCAAGGTATTTAATTTTGTAGGATACAAATCTAACTTTCTTTAAAATATAATTGACATGGATGTCCCATCGTAAGTGAGGATCCAAGACCACTCCAAGGTATTTTATGTTGGGCACTCAATTTGCATTTTTTGATCATTAATATTGAAGGAGAAATTTGTGTAATTTGGCAGATGTCTAGCATAAGATCCAAATGGTAAAAAATGTGTTTTAGAGTAGTTAATGCTTAATTTTCTACTGTTAAACAACCGAATAATTTTGATAAAATCATTTTCAATTACATTTTTCAGATCAGACCAGTCAGTGCCTTCATGTAATATTGCAGTATCATCTGCAAAACTAGTTATTTTGCCAACACAATTACTTTGGAAAATATCATTTAAATATATATTGAATAACAGCGGACCTAAGACAGTTCCTTGTGGGACACCACACTTAATATACATTTCTTTACTAAATGATCCTGATATCTGCACAGATTGTGGGCGATTTGACAAATAACTTTCGATCAGTGAGTACGCGTTTCCTCTGAAACCAATTCTCTCCAATGCTTCTAATAATAATTTGTGATTAACTGTATCGAAACCTTTCTTTAAATCAACAAAAATGCAGATTGGAGGGATTCTGTTATCAATATTTTGATGTATTTGATTTACAATTTTAGTTATTGCGTCCGATGTAGCCTTCCCTTCTGTAAATCTATATTGATTTTCACTTAAAATTTTGAATTTTGTGAGGTATCGAATCATTCTAGTAGATAAAACTTTTTCAAAAACCTTTGCTACACTGGATATTATTGATATTGGTCTATAGTTGTTAACATCTGTTTTTGTTCCTGATTTATGTATCGGTATTATATTAACTTTTTTTAAAATTGAGGGATATATGCCAGATTCAAAGCATTTGTTGATTAGGTAAGTGAGTGGTTCTGTTATGTCCTCAGCTATAATTTTCAAATGCTCGCTTTTAATACCATCGAACCCAGGAGTTTTCCGATTTTTTAAGGACATAACAGTGGTGTATACTTCACATTGCTCGACTTTATCCAAAATAAATGAGTTCAAAGTTGTTTTGGGAGGCTGAGTATTTTGTACATTTCTTGTATATTACTTGCTAAATTTTCGCCTATGTCAGTAAAGAATTGTACAAATTCATCGCATATCTGTTGAGTATTTTTTAATAATGTTCCCGATGTTGTATTTAACTCAGTGACTACACACTCTTTAACTTTTGTTTTCCCAGTAATCTAATGCTCAGTTTAAGGTTTCAAGTTGTTGGATTCATAACTTTGCATTGCTTACGCACACCAATTTGGTTTTCGTGAAGGTCAAGGTACGACTCCTGCATTACTACACCTTCCAGATGAGATTCTTCACAATCTGGCATGCTGTTAGCCAAGCTTGATTTTTTCGAGGCTTTCGGTCAATCTTGAGATTCTTTTGAGTAAGCTAAAGTATTATGACATGTCAGAGGTTCATTTCAATTTCTTCAGATCCTACCAAACTGATCGCACTAAGAAAGTGAAAACAACTAGAACAATTTCTGATACACAGTCTGTTTCATCAGGAGTTCCTCAGGGTTCAGTACTGGGACTTCTTTTATGCCTAGTATACACGTTTGGTCTGCATGAGTGTGTAGAACATTGTTACATTCAAATGTATGTTGAGAATGCACAATCAACATTTCGTTTTAATGAATCCAACTTACATGAAGCATCATACAAAATTAACTTAGATCTTGTCATTATATTAGCGTATTGTAATAGGCCCTGTCGTGCGTGTTTCATCGGAAGACATGCAATTTTGTCACTGCTGATGCCAATTTACCCGCTGCTGTGCCCATTGACTCTATGATTGTTTAAGAGTTGGGTACACTTGGCGCGACGCCTTGTTCTGTACTTTAGCACATATCGCAAATACTTCATTTCTTTCTTTAAAATGAAAGATTAGGATGTAACTTGCACGAAAATATCATTTTTTCTTTAAGGAACCCTCTGCTTGCTATTTAACAGAACCTCAAAGTTGCATTTTTTGTGGTAATACGCTAGAATGGAATACTGTTTTATACGATTTTCTTTGCTTTTTGCACAAAATGATGCTCTAAATCAGAGTTTCCCAAACTTTTTTGTGTCGTAGACCCAAAGCCATGTTTTTCCGTGTTGGGTAGACCCCCTACTTACCTGATATTGATTTCCTGTAAATTTCTAACTGTAGTGAAGTTTAGTGTTAAAAACTTAAAGCAAAAACACATGTTAATTTATACATTTATTAATTGAATTTAAATTAAAACTACTCAAAATAAAATTTTGTATCTGTTATGTAAAATATACGTAAAATTAATAAACAGCTGTCTGACCAATAAGTGCCCGCATTGGGAATAAGTGCCCGCACTGAAAAAAAAAATAAGAGGGATAAAATAAAAAAAGTGAAAAATAATAAAAAAAAATTTTTTTACTTTAAATAGTACAATAAGCGAGTTCGTTTATTAATTATAACATAAACGTATGTTCTACAATAATTTCACTGTTAGTTTGATTAAATTCCGCTTCTTATACGTTTAAGTTATCTAAAAATAGGCAAAAAATTAACGAATTTTAGTGTGTACCTATCCTTGAATTTTCAGAATAATTAAAAAAAAATATTTTCTATAAAGGAGGGTTCTTTAAAAAAATCAATGCGGGCACTTATTCCCAATGCGGGCATTTATTGGTCAGACATCAATAAACATAAAATAAACTATAAATAAAATAACATAAGCAATAAGTCAATATTTTTAGTGAGAAGGATGAACCTGATGCTTTATTAATAAATTATCAACATTTGGCGTCAATTTTGTAAGGGTTAATCTTAAATCTTCTCGGCTAATGATGTCCAGTCTGTTTCTTTTTTTCGTTAGGAGATTGGTAACAGCGCTGAACCCCCTTTCCACTAGGTATGACGATGGAAAGGAAATTAAAAATTTCCTCGCTATATTCCATAATACGGGATAAGTAACGGGTATGTTGTTTTGCAGCCAGAATTGCTGATATCCGCTTTTAAACTGAACCTTAAGTTCTTCGTTTGTACTTAGTTCAGTCAGTTCCTCTTGTATTATGACATTCGTTTCTTCTATGTCACCATATGGATTAATTATCCACGGTAGTATTACCATAGTCAAAATATCCTCAAACCTAGATTCAAAATCTGAATAGAGGGCATTTAAATGTTGAACGTAAGTTGAAACGTCGTCTTCCTGGCAGCTTGTCTGTGACAAATTGGGGAACTGAGAAAATTCGCCCCGTCCAATATTTTGCTTCATTAGTTTCACTCTGGCAAGAAACGCTGATAAGATGGACTTTGTTTTAATCAAATTTAAACTGTCGCCTTGTAATTGCAAATTAACCATATTAAATTTTGTAAACATATCTGTTAAATAGGCGATGTCTGTTTTCCTCTTCATTAAATTTTCTTTTAAAATTTTATCTTTAGTATCCAGAAATTCTGAAATAGTCTCAAAAAGTGCAAAAAATCTTGTCAAACATAAGCCTTTCAACAGCCAGCGTACTTCAGTGTGAAGGAGTAATTAATGAAAGTGTTCGTCATTTTCTTCACACAACTGCGCAAATAACCGCGTATTCAACGCGTTGCTTCGGATTCGGTTTACTGCATCAATGACTAAATGAAGTGATTCTTGCAATCTAACACTCAAATTTTTAGCAACTAAATGTTGTCGATGGATGACGCAATGTATTGCTAACACCCCTGACACATTTTGTTTTAAATAGCTTATAAATCCACGATAACGTCCAACCATGGCAGGTGCTCCATCTGTAGCTACTGATATTATATTTGATAAAGGAATTGCTTTTTCAAAGAAGTAATCCTTCAAAACATGCAATATTGATTCACCTTTAGTGTCGGTTATCAAAGTTCTTGCGAAGAGCAGTTCTTCGTAGATTTCTTGATTCATAATAAAACGAACATATGCCAATAATAATGCTGCATTATCAGGTAAAGTTGACTCGTCCAGTTGTATAGAAAAATGGGTCGTTTGCAAATAATTACATAAGAAGCTTTCAATATCAGAACTCATTTCATCAATACGTCTTTCAACAGTATTGTTGCTTAAGGGAATTCTTTTAATGATATCAGATGCAGGTTTGTGTAAAACAGTTTTTAAAACCTCTTCAACGGCTGGCAAAATTAACTTCTCTCCGATAGTATGCGGTTTTCCGGATTTTGCTATGAGTAAGACGCCCGCAAACCATCATCATTTCTTTGTGACGTCGAAGCGAACATTCTGTCCAGTGTAGGTCTCTTCTGAAATTAATCTTTGAGTGTTTGACAGCATTTCAAATCTTTCTCTGTTTTATCAGGGTGGCATCTTCACAGATGATCTTGCAGTTTAGATGGTTTCATAGCGTCATTGCCCAAAACTTTGTTGCATAAAAGGCATATAGGCGATTGTTTGTCCGGCAATGATGGAATGAATCCAAATTTCAAATAATCAACACTGTACTGTCTACATTTCTTTTTAGATTGGGACAAGGCATCAGTCATCTGTGGGCAAAATTAAATTATTTAAATAAGACAGAAAATCCAGTAGCTGTATATTAAAAATATTTTTTTATTTTTCCGAACACATTCCATAATTCGAACATCTTCTTGCAACAATTAGCTCGAATTACGGAGATTGCACTGTAATTATATTACCGATTGCTAAAACTTTCAAAAAGAAACTATTGAGGAGTACTCGTGTAATTTTGCATGATTGAATATTTAACTACTAATAACTAAAGTCATGATTGGCGTAATTTATCTATCTTTGCTAACTACGAGTACAAAACTAAAATTTAATAAAAAATAATGTACTTACTTTTCTCCAGCACTCTCAAACAAAATAACACTGACTCAATATAATTTGTGTGATATACTATCTGTTTATATTTTTTACAATATTTCCTTAGCACTTTCCTTTTCAAGATTCAGGAAACGAATAAACGTATGTGTCCCACATTCGTATTTATAGAGTGAAGAATTGAACAAGTCAGTGCAAGGTAGCGAAGCTCTGAGACTGCGACTCTCAGGTTTTTACAAGTTCAAAATGTATTGCGACCACAAAGCGAATACCAACATCCTACAGCTTACACAATTTTATAAACATATATAATACATTTTTTACTTCATAGGTACTTTTATAAATAATGTATATGTTTTGATATTATAAGATAGTATGATGTAAGTAAATAGGTACTATCAGTGTATGTGTTGAGATCCACTATCGTGGACCCCCATATTCATTTGATGGACCCCCAAATTTTTTTTCGCTGACGTAGACCCCTTGCAGGTTGTCATAGACCCCTAGGGGTCCATATAGACCACTTTGGGAATCAATGCTCTAAATTATAAGAATATAACATACACTGTATAGTACTAAGGAAAATAGATGTGAAACTGTAACAAGCACAAAAGTCTCTTTGATTTGAACGAACTTGCGAAGCGATGACAGCATCTATAGTTAGAAGTTCTTTGCACCCTTTGGAGCCTCTTGAACAGCCTTTTTCTAGTGGTGATGTGATATTGTTTCTTTGATTTATATACAGGGTGACTTTGAAGTTGAGTCATTAATTTTCAGATAATGATTGTAGAAGGAAGATAAACCAAAATATGTGTGTAAAAATAAAAAAAAATTAGAAAAAAGTTTATACCTTGTTTTATAAAGTATTCTCCCGACAAGTATTTCAGTGCGGACCTGTATTTGATCGTGAGGTCTTGGAGCACCGGCATGCCGTCACCTGATTCACGAGCCCGTTGTACTACATTAACAAAGGCACGAGGGGTTGGTTGCACTCGATTGGGAAACCGATCCGCATAAACATGTGCCATTTTTTATTTCGTTTGAGCCACGCAACAGACACCACTATTCAGTACGCGTTACCGACTGACACTGACTGTATACAAATGAATAAAATAATTGTAAAAACATCGTTCCAAATTCTTTCGCTTTTTTGTTTCCGATGCGATGAACCGATAAGGCGGATTATATCCGTTGTCGCCAAACACGAGCACATAATATTATTATAGAGACAGGGCGGTACTCAAACTTCCAAAGGGCTATAACTGTGTTACTTTAATTTTACCAGAAAAATGGTAAAGGAAAAAAACATTTCTTTTGATCAGATCTACTCACTGTTAAAATAAATGACTCAACTTCGAAGTCACCCTGTATATTATTAATATTATTACTATTATTATTATTGTTATTAAAATTTTCCTGCGATATCCAATGCTGCATGCTCAACGCCATCATGCAGATGCCACATGCGTAACCAAGTGATTTCCATTTCAATCAAGATGCCATCACAGGCCAATCTTCAAACACTAATTAAGATAGCACAGCTTGAAACGCGTTGAACTTTTTTACCCACCTCGCAATAATGCCGTAATTAGTGACGAACGGTTATGCATTGCTAAAATATGAGAAATACATTTGAAATGCAAAGCGAGGTTATGCAATTATTTACGTTGTGGGTGGCTCGAGAGCCGAGCACTCGATGTATCTGGTTGCATCTCATATAGTTGCTATTTTATTGATAACACGGTTTGACATCTGTATTCAGTGGAGGATAAGCTGACGTACGCACAAATACCTTTATTAATACCTTTACGGAAGCTTATAGAAGACGGGAAGGCGTTTGGCTAGGAATTGAATATTAGCAAGCTTAAGGTACGTTTTCAACGCTATAACATATGCTGCACTTTGTGTCGGCACCTGTGTGAATAGAAGTACTATGATTGGCGGTTAATTCATATAATACGCAGAAAACTGAGTGAATTGGATTTGAACCAGCACGAACATACCCTGATCATATTTCATTGATATAAAACGCATTTTAAGCACAGTGAACTACCAAAATAATGTGTATTGTCGCCATTAATATATTGTCGATGCATTTGGTGTTTTTTTTCAGCAGCGTGTATCAGCAATCGGATATAAATATTGATATTATGGAACACTTCAACTACAAACGACTGTTGCTATACAGCAGACGCTCGATAATGTAAACTAATTTAATCCAAGTGTGGTTCACATTATCGAAATGTTTACATTAGCGAACGTGATTTATATAATATTTGATTTATTAAAAGAAACGTTAAATACATACTATTTATAACAAAATAAACAAATATTCTAACAGCGATAAGTATTTTTTTAATGAGAAGAAGAATAATTAACAATTTTTGTCTGCGTAAATTTGCGCTTAGCATTGTCTTCCAATGCCTGCGCCCGTAATTTACGAAGAACTAAAATATCCGTGTATGAAACTTCTTTTCTTTCAGCCCAATCTAAAGCTTGGTTAAAAACTTGTATAGCTTGCGCGTCAGTCACTACACTTCTGACTTCAATGGGATCGTTCTCATCATCCTCACTGTCCATATCCTCCTCCTTATCAGCATCATTCGTCTGCTTATCTTCGTTCCATAAATTAATATCAGCAGGAGTACAAACAATGTTGGGATTCACTGTTTCCAATAAATCAACAACATCCAATGACACACTAATGACATTATCATTATTGGATCGCAAACGTTCTCTAATTACGCTTAAGGGGACATCGTCTTCTTCATCATGTTCATTATTGGTACAAAAGAGATTGTTCCAACATTTTTGAATAGTTTGCTGGTTAGGTTCATTCCAGGCCATATGTAAATCCAAAACAGCTTCTCGTAATGTTATTTTTTTGAAAGCCTCAGATAAGTTTTCAGGATTCTTTGATAAGACAGACGAAAGTAGGAACTTCCTATAGTATAGTTTGGTGAGTCTTATTATATTCTGGTCCATCGGTTGAATTAACGGTGTTACGTTGGGCGGCATGTACATGACGAAAATTGACCCATCCTTGCTCCTCAGTTGTTGCTCGGGAGGATGACTTGGTGCATTATCCAATAGTAACAACGCTTTTATTGGAAGCTTCTGTTGTTTTAGAAAACCTATTACCTACAAATTGAAAACACATCTTCAAATTATGAATAGAGCATTTGTGATAATTGATTGTCATACCTGAGGGAGAAAGCACCTGTGGAACCATTTCAGGAATATACTGCTAGTCATCCAAGCGGTTTTTGAACAGTCATAATCAACAGGGATATTAACATTTTTAAATGGGCGCGGATTTTTTGCTTTCCCAATTACCAGTGGCTTTATTTTGTGTGAACCATTAGCATTAGTGCAGGCTAGAAACGTTATTCGTTGTTTCTCCGGCTTTCTTCCCGGGGCAGATTTTTCAAATGATGCAGCATAGGTTTTCTCTGGTAACATTTTCCAATAAGGCTGGTTTTAGAGTCACGCTGACCGGCCGCTGACCGTCAGCGCCGACAGGCGAAATATATGAAAGTCTAGGAAGCGTTTTAGAATAAGGCGTAGCTGTCAGCGCGGACGGTGGTCAGCGCTGATAGCTCAGCAGCCATACGCGTTGCGCGTCGGCGGCGCGTAGCAATCAGTGCTGACCATCGCTCGCGCGCCTTTGCTTTCATTGAGCGTTCTAGTGTCGAACGGAGTGGATGTTGTCAGCGTGTACAGGTACAGTCACGATGTCCACACAAGTCGAGTCATCCAGTACAAAGCAGCAATGACTATTGCTCTCCGCATTTTGCGTCTGCGACTGTATTCCGTGGCAATCAGCACGATACTAAAACGTTTCGTGCTGACTCTCGGCGCTGACAAAACACGCGCTGAGCTGTGAGCGCTGTCGTCAGCTTGACACTAAAACCAGCCTAAAGGCCACTTTCATCTGCGTTGTAAATTTGTTCCATTCTTAAATCTAGTTCTGTAATTGTTTTCATCAATTTTTCTTTGAATGGTTGCACTAATTGAGGTTGTGCTGATAATTTTTCACCAGATATAGACAGCAGTCAAATTCCATATCTTGTTTTGAATCGTTGTAACCAGCCATCATTACCTACGAAATTTTCAGTTT